AAAAAAAAAAAGCAGATAAAAACAACACAAGTGCAATAATATACACAATAAAATAAAACACCAAACACTATAAAACATAGAACACTTTAAAATTACTATTTAAACGTGCATTTTGTTGATGAAACTTACATACTTTTACTTGAAATTGAGTATTTTTACTTTTACCTCAACAGAAGATCTGAATACTACCTGTACTGCAGGTCATGGTAGAAAATATTACCAAGGTCCAAGCTTCCTATATACAGGTGTGAATAACAAAATCAGTGTTGGTTGATTTCCATTTAGTTGCTTCAGTTTCAGGGTCCCTTTCTCGTGCATGCAGACTCACAGTCACACTGTCATGGCCTAATGTAGTTCATATTATCAGTAACACCTGCGGTTTTCTATGACAACCTTTTTGGCCTGTGACTTTTCATAAAAAAATAGCAGTGACTTAGGCCCCTCGTCACATTTCATAAGACATTTCCCCAGTAAACTTCTTATATGATTTCATTTAAATAACTGTTTCATTCCCAAAAGGTAAAAAAAAAGGCATAGAGAAAAGTCCAAAAACTGAACACAAATGAGTGTAGCAGAACTTTTTCTTCCTCTCCCTTCAGCATTAATCATCTTATGACCCCTCAGGTTAATCTTGTGACCATTTGAAGGTCAGGGACTAAACAACTATAAATATAGTAGTTGAAGCTCACTCCACTACATTCTCCAGTATATTATAATTTATCAGTCACAGCCTCAATCCTTTACCTTTTGCTTTTGATGCTTTAAGTACATTTTGCTTACAATGTTTCTGTACTTTTACTTAAGCAGGAATTTCCTTGCAGGACTTTTACTTGTATGGGAGAACTTTTTGCATTGTTGTATTGGTATGTTTACACAAGTAAGGATCTGAATACTTCTTCAGATCTGCAATGTCAATAATGGGCTTGTGTAAATCCCAATATGATCTTGTTACAACTATAATCAATGATTTATGAACAAATAGACAGCAGTCTAATCAATATGAAGTGCTGATTAAAAAAAAGGCATCAACAAGAAAAACTGTATTTTCATTCAACCATGAATGAAACAGGTCATCGTTTGTTGAGTGTTGATAACCTGTCATTTGCGTTATAAGTCTTTAAGTCTTTTTTTTTAGTCTTTGCCCTCAAATACAAATCTAAAACAGCACATTTTATTAGTCTGTTTTATTCTTTCAAAAAATACTCTAAAGATAAAAAATATTTACAACTCTCCTCCTCCTCCTATGTCGGACCTGTCCTTGTCTCATTTTGCACAGTAAAGCAGATTGGCTGAGATGATGAGAGAGCGGAGGGGAGAAACTACAGGGATCAGTTGTTGGACTCTGTTCAAACAGCATAATGAAAGCTTAGATCAGACAAAACCGATGTTATTTAATTATGTGAGAAACAATGAGGAGTACTCATCAAATCAATTGAATGGATTTTCATCATCACACATTGTGAATAAGAAGTAATAGATTACTGACAACGTCTGACTGATTTAGTGTAATTGGTCGACACATAAAGTGACTGCAGCTGTAAGGATATCAAAACAGTATGTTTTTTTTGTTTGTTTTTTTACAGCCAAAGCCTTATGGATTCTCCTCAT